CCCTACTGGTTACCCCTAAAATGTTCAGATTTTGTTCTGCTTTATATTTCCGTTTATAAACATAAATTTGTAACACAACCTGCTATTTTATAAGAATAACCTCACTTAGTGTAGAAGGCTTTGTATATGCAGGGTTCTTGTACGGGAATAAGTTCATCAACAATCTCTCTTTGAAGTGTTTAACATGTTTAATTTGTTCGTAGAGTTTTTATTGGTTAAAGATGTATAAATGCACAATATTGTAGAGATCCAATTTTTATTTTATATGAAACAGCGGCATATCTTGATAATTGAGGAATAAAAAAGGAGGATTACATTACGGGCATGATGATCGTGATGAACAGGCAAGAGCGATGCTCTACTGATCGGGAACACAGTATGCAAAGGCAGTACTGGTGCACACGTGCGGTAAGTAGCAATCATGCACAAATTGTGCTGTTGATCGGCCTTTCCTTTTTCTATTCGTAAACTAAACATACAATAAGCAGACTGAATTGGTAATTGGCTGTGACAAGTTGGATTTTAGAGCAATGGACAGGTAGCTAGACTGTGTTGAAGTTTTAAAAATATCTCCTAATTAAATCATACAGTTTTTGGGGGGTGGGGAGATGCTCTCTTAAAATCCTCAGCCTCACATAGGCCTACGTCAAACAGCTGGGAACTCAAATTCATGTGCACTACATGTACATGTATGTAGTTGTTTGGAGTCCTCTGTAATCATAAATGCCTTCCGATATTCTTGTCAATGTTTTTCACCGTGAAGAAATCATGTCGGCGAACAGTTTTGTCAGTGGGCTTAAAATTCATTGGCTTGGGAGGTTGATGTTTATGGTCATGCTGGAGCTCTGTCTGATCATCGGGCGATGGATCCCCAACAATGTGCAATTTTAAAATACTCAATAATCTCAAAATAGGTGATTTTTTGTTTTTAAATTCAGGCCCAAGAGATTATGATTGCTAATCGTCGTTATTGACTCTCATCGTCAGTCTAGTTTATTACAAAATACCTATCTGTGCCAGCGCGTTCTGGAAAAGTTCTCCATCTCTAAAAAAAATGTATTCGGTATAACTTTTAAAATGGGACAAATCAAGAGATATGAGTAAATTACTAGCAATGGAAATGTGCCAAAGCCTTGCTGGATAATACCCTCTCTCCTCCACACAGAACTGCCGTGAGTCCCTTAGCTTCTATCAAATTTTGTGGACACCGTTTGTCTATTTTAAGTTCACCTGTTAACACATAACACATGCTAAAAAAGGCCAGGATTTGTACAAATCATGAATTTTAGCTTTCCTGTACTGGCCATAGGAGACTCAGCTTGCATACAGGTAACTAGGCCAACTGTCACCAATGCATGCCACAGCCTCGCCCCCATCCCGATGTTGTGTGTACTCGGCATGGAGATCAATGGTACTCATGGCTGAGAACCATGTTTTGCGTTACATGCTTTATGTAAACGTCTAAACCAGTGGATTCGGTTAGACTTCAGTTTTGCTGGTTCCAGTCAGAACATGTAGTTTTGACGTGCATGTACGCAGTCTCGGAATCTCGTGCACCAGGTAGTTGCACGCGCACACCGTACGAACTGCACTGGAGAATGGCTGAAAACAGTCCACAACAATGGCCAGAATTAACGTTACCCGGTACATCTGACTTTATTTTCCCATTTTGTCTTTGATGGTGATGTGTCAAATTTCTTAACTCACCAGACCTGGAGATAAGGATGCATAGGAGTTACAGACATGAAATTGGCTCCTTGGAAAAGGTAGAAGTGTTGAAAATTTTAGTTACAAAATTTTTCGCCCAATTTGCACCCTTTACATCCTGGACTCCCTCTGAAACGTACTGTAGTATGGTCAGGGAGTCTACCTGGGCTAGGGCAGGTCCAAATCTGAACCAGAAAAGCAAGATTACCCAAAGAGACAACCGGTTTAACTTAGGCCAAACTGGGCGATGTGGTTAGGGGCGAAGTGGTAAGGAGGGGGTGAAGTGGACATGGGACCAAGTGACTGTGAAGCAGTAGGTACTCATGCAGTCTAGAATGGCTAATGAGACGGAAAATAGGGACATAATGGGGGCCCCTAGGTTACTTCAAGAACTCTTAGTCATAAACTCTGTGAAACTCCGTGTGACTTTGAGGAGCCAAGGTTTACATGGCGTCGTAACGCTATGGGGTTTTAAATTGAAATTTTGTGGTGAAATGGTTCACAGCTGTAAGAAAGCTATGACTCTATGAGCTCAAATTTTCCCCTGTCAGCATACCTGCTTAATCTATACATGTACCTCCTAAAAAGGGGATAACAAAAGTTTCAGAGCATGAGATGGAGTATTTTTGAAACAAAATGAGATTTTTGCTCACCAATTTCTCACTTCCACCCATTGGCTGTCGTTCCATTCGTGCCTTTCGTGTTTATCAGACTGCACATGCTTTGTGCCCACTAATGACTACGCTTGCTCCTTATCTTGGCTCGACCATTTTCGGTGGCGGGGGATGACATCTTGTGTTGTTTTCATCATGGGACCGTCCAAGCTGCTGCTGCCACCTGGAAACACGTATCGGGCAAGATACGCGACTGTGCTGCGCTGTGTGTGATGTTATCCCCTGCTACTGAAAATGGTCAAGCTACTGTAAGATGCAGAGCAAGCGTGGTCATTGGTGGGCTCAACACATGCACAACCTGATACACACGAATGGCACAATCAGAGCAGCAGTCAACGGGGTGCACGCAAGAAATGGGTGGGTAAAAATCTCATTTTTTTCCCTAAAATACTTTGTCTCATGCTCTGAAACTTTTGTTATCCCCTGTTTAGGAGGTATATATGTAGATTACACTGGGGAGTCCGGCACTTTTCCTTTTTTTTTTGTTTGACCCCCACAAACTTTGTACAATTCGGACAGAGAATTGCCAAAGAAATTGAATGGTATAAAATTGAGCTCAATAGCTGTAAAATCAAAATTAGGTGTACTTAGTCCATCACATTTTGGAGGTGGAGAAAGTTTTATTTTCATCAATGTATTTCAATCACATGGAGTCTTGTTCCTCATCGGTTCCACTTCCAGACATGCCAGAGTTGGACAAAGATCTGTAGTTACATGTAAGTCACAGAGGAAGTGTATTAAAAGTAAACAATATCTTTTATTATGGAGAACTTTATCACTAATAAACACAGGATACATGTACATGTATAGAGTAACATGGACAGTTGAGTTGGACTTGAAATTGTAAGTGATGTGTGAAAGATCACTGAAGCATAGATTTGATGTGATATTTTATCATCAATAAATGGCTACAAAAATAGGGGACCAAGTGTGTCAGGTTTCATCTTGCTCCCCGTGCACCATCCATCAATCTAATGCACATCCCATATGTGCACAGTTGACATTTTTGTCACATTTTTGACAAAAAAAACCAACTTCTTTTTCTTCCTTAAATTCTAAGCTTCTAAACAAACACCGCTTCATATATGTTTCATCAATTCCTTATACATGTACATGTTTTGGGGGATTTTTAACAGAAAATGTACATTTTTGTTACCTTTTTGTAGTCTTCACAAACCAAAACAAGGCTTGACGGTGCTTTAGTCAAATGCCTCAAGTCATACCCGCCACATCAAATGAAAGAGTATTTTAAGCTCTACAAGATGATGACATAATCATTCCAAACCCGGTTGAGTGTCGCAAGACAACAAGCAAAGATGGCCGCACACAGTTGTTGACGTGGTGTTGAGTGGCTCCGATCTTACATTTTTTTCATCATACTTTACAGCCAAAACTTGACATAAACAGACATTATAAATGGCACTAACACAAATTTCAGTTCTTTTACAACACAACTGCCTTTTAAAATATTGAATTTGATGCACAAACAGGATAGAAATCATTGATTGAAAACAAACACTTTTACACACTTCCGGATATAAAATTTAGAGATGCCATTTTGCTGGACTCCCTAATTAAGCAGGTAGGCCTATGCTGACAGGAGAAAATTTGACTAAGTTAGGCCTAACCATGCTAACAGTTTAATTTCTAACCACTGCTTACGGCTGTGAGCACCACAAAAATTTGATTCCAAATCTCCATAGCATTACGGCGCCATATAAACCTTGTCTCCTCTTAGTCACACAGAGTATCACGGAGTTAGTGATTTTGAGTTCTTGAAGTAGGCCTACCCTGACTGCCGATCCATCCTTAGCCACACATCCATATGCGCAATTTCGTGTCGGCGCATCTTCGTGGGCGCAATTTCTTTTGCACACGAACATGATCCTTGACCTTTCCGTTTTCTAAAAACCATTTATTGAATGGTTTCACTCACGTTATTCAGGTATTTTTAAAATAAGACTGTTGAACAATACGTCACTTGACCCCTCATCGTCTCGACAGCTGTTCCATGTCAAGACGTATGTAATTAACAGACTGAGCAATAAGATACTACATGTACCAATGGGCTCTTCCAAAACTTTGGCAGCAGTTTAGATGTCTTGACATGGAAGAGCCGTCGAGACGATGAGGGGTCAAGTGACGTAATGTTCAACGACCTTATTTTAAAGATGGCGACTGAGAGAGCGAGCCCGTTAGATTGAATGAATAAAGGCAAAAAGACAGGAAAATACCTGAATAACGTGAGTGAAATTATTCAATAATGGTTTTTAGAAAATGGAAAGGTCAAGGCTCACGTTCGTGTGCCAAAGAAATTACGCCCACGATGATAAGTGGGTGCGCCGGATTGCGAAATTGCATAGACGGATGTGTGGCTAAGGATAAATCGGGAGTGATCCGTGCCACACTAGTGGGGCTAGGATCGGGAGTGAGAGTCCGTGCCACACATCTGTCTATGCTACTACATGTACGTACGACGAGGTACAGTGTAAGCCTCATGCCTAAACATTTTCAGACATGTCAGACACGTCTCATACTAGGGTTTGTGTCCTGGGGCATCAATTGTTGTCGGTATATGGAATTCTTTCCTACATGATAAATATCTTCAAATAATCTTACCGAAAGCAAACGTTGTTTCCTCACAAACTGGAAGAATTTAGAAGGAGAAAACCCCGGTCAATGCCGGTGTTTGCAGGTCATGCAACCCGCCATCTTGTAACTACAGGAATGCACTGCCGCGCATGCGTACATGTTAAAATATTGTACCGTACAAAACTAACCAAGTGGTGGCGCTCTATGTAAATAACTGGGTCTAGCATGCAGTGGAGGGCCGGCGGGCACGAAGTTTTTTTCACACACTACACTCCGGGTAACCGGACTTGAATAAAAGCTGTAATTGTAACTCCGGCAGACTTGTTTTTTTCACAGGCAAGTTAAGTCCGACATTTCATTTCACTTTAAATGATAATGCCTAACGGCGATGTATCACATTTTGAGACTAAACAGAGAAAGCTTCTACGAGGCGCGAAGACATGTCTCGTCTCAAGAGGCAGCAAAACCAGTTTACCCATATGAAAAGTACATGTACCGGTGCATGGTGCATCCCCAGACAGTTGTGAAATAAAATGCGTAGCGGGGGCTTTGAGTGGCTGGGGGATGCACAAAGCTGTATAATTTGCTCAGCGTAGAAAATATTTTTCTAAGCAAAAAAAAAATTTGAAGCACTGAGTAGACGGTCAATAAATAGACTATTGAGACTCTACAATAGCACAGCAATTATCTTTCTAATGGAATGGAAAGCACCGACACTTCCAAAAATGATACATGAACAAGCATCTTTCTCTGGCGGGGGATTCTTTTCAATTAACATGAAAACTTTGGACAGTTCAAGAAAAAAATCTCCATCCTGCCCTCTCCCAACCCCTGACTCAAAATCTGAACACATCACTGCTTTTAAAGTACATGTGGGAAAACGTAGTAAGAAGGTAACTTGACAATGAGCTTCAGTCAACTGGCAATGTTTAATGAAGGCATTTCAGCCCTTCTGCTCTGGAAACATTCATTTACACAACTGAAGGTTTTCCTCAGTTTTGGTTTCAATAAGTCTTTAATAGAATAAAATGTATTTCATTCTTAACAGTACAAAATGTACTTCAGAATGCACAAAATTTTATCCTTCTACATAACACACAGTGTGCTGGTGCGAACATTATTGCATAATAGTTTTTGCACTTAACTAAATACAAAAAATAACACAAAACTCATGGACTACTCAAATTTACTTTTCAAATTTTCCTTTTATAACTGTGAAAATAGGAAAATACCTTCTTTGAGGACAGACCACACATTTCAAACACTGCACAGTATGGGGTGCTACAGTGAGTACAGCACACCTCTCACAATTACTGTATAGAACCCAGTTTCAACGCCTGGCATTAGCCTCGTGACTAGAGTTGTTTAATGATTCTTGGAACCACAAGGGTTCCTCTCAAGGCTCTGTAGTTTTTCTTCCTCCACAATGATCAACACTTGTGAAGCCATGATCATACATGGATGGTCCAGCAGCTCTCTCTAACATCTTTACATGCTTTAAACTTGACCGCATCGTGGCTACATGTACATCTTCTGTCATTCAGCCTTGTGGTTACCACTGCCTACCAGTCAAGATTATTAATCTTCCAATAGAAAAAACCTCGGAAAGGATTTTCCTTAAGTTACTGACATAATTCATAGTCAGCCACAACTCAATACAGTACATGTATATCAAAGTTTATAAAAAAATTGAGTCTTTTCAAACCTGTCCACATTTATAATATCAGTCTATTAGGAATGTGTACATACTTCAATGTGGCCAGTATTATTTTCTAATGCACATTTTGCTCCCAAAGAAATGAAACTTATCCTTTTGATAACAAACATCCTGTTTGGATAGAATGCTGCACATACATGTAAGCCAGTCATTGTGAATGAAATGTTGTGAAACTGATTTTGTACATAACCTGGATATGACTAAAGAAGAACCCTGATTTACTTATTCTGCTTTAATTACCAATTTTCTAATTTTCACAAGTAATGCACTTATTGTGAGAAATCTGACAAAATGCACTCCAAGAGAGCCCTACAATAAGTCCCCTCATAAAATGGAAATTTCAAGTATCACATGCCTAATTACAATATCAATATTTGCATAGAGCAAAATAAAGCAACGTTTCAGACAGTGAGATTTAATCTACAGAAAATCTTTTCAGGAGAACATAGATTATGCTGCTGCAGCATAGTATTTGACTAGTTTCCTCAATACCAACAATTGGAACTCAACACTAGGTTACAACCGGGAAATCATGGGGAGAACTCTCAGTGTTTTTCAATTTGTAATGCACAAGACATAAAATAAAAAAACAAAACCAGGAAATGTTGCATGTTCATCACAGCCCTTCCTCTGATAGTTTTGCATTCAACTCGCATAGCTGTTTCATGAATGAGTCATTTGGGCATACTTCCCGCTTTGCCCTAACAGTCCTGAGTGCATCACGTACATCCATGCCACGCTTGATCATCAGGAAGGCGACAACAACAGTCACTGAACGGCTGAATCCTTCCACGCAGTGAACAAGAATCTTGCCTGTCAATGAAATCAAAATTGGAATAAGTGGCATCAAAATTTGCAACAAATTTTGAATGTGGATTGTAACAAATTGGGAAATTGTGCTTTTCCTAAATGGGAATGTGACCTGTTGTAATTGGAATTTTTTTCTACTTGGAAGACTTTTCAGAAGCTTGGTGATGGCAAACATATTTGCTCTATGTGGTCAATCTGCTATTTGTTGGTGAAATTGGGCCCTGGTTACAGGTCTCTGCCTACCTTATACGCTGCGGGGACGGGAACGAATCTGTTATACAAGTGTGACCATTGATCAGTACCGTGGTAATATATGCAAAAACATATCATGGGTACCACAACAACTGACTACATGAGCGAAAACAGTTCCCCTCGGGTGCTATGCATCCCTCGGGTGTTTAAAATGTCATATCCCACATCACAGCAGGATTGTTAATTATCACACAAGCACAATTGAAACATAGGATAATGTGGGCATCAATTTCCCATATCTCATGAAGCCAAAGGCCAAGTGGTATCTGGAACACAGAAGCACTACATTATTCCATGCTCCATGAGCACGAGTGTGAAAATGAATTTATCTTCAAGCAAACTTGACATGCAGTAAAGATTTTACTAGGACCTGTGTGTGCAAACGCCTTACCATTGAAAATACAGTATATTTTCTAGATGTGCATTTTGCTATTAGCGTTGAGTTAGAATAGTGCATTATGCGGGGTTTGATATAAACCATGCAATACATGTATATCACACTGTTTGTTGCCATGGATTGACCAATCAGTACTGAGAATTCAAGTTTGCTTGAATATAAGACTTAATAAACACAATCATCTCTGTGAAACCTTTGGCACACATTTTCAATGGTTAAAATCCAAGAACATTTACCAAGGCTGTGTGTAAAAAAGTGCGAGCCAATGTCTTCTGTCGGATACTTAGTCTGTCAGTCAATCTAGCAAGCTTGTAGACACCTGTTCTTACCTTGATTCTCCAGAGCATTTTCTATGTAATTGGATGTATCATACAGGAAGGCAGAGATGTTGAACTTAAGGTTATCTGAAGCCTTAATGGCCTTGAATGTTATCCCTGTGTCCTGCAAATGTAACATAGAAATATTAAGCGACAGTGTGCCAAAAAGCATTTCTGATGTCAGCTCTGTGATCTGTGACCACAAAATAAAAGGCTCTTTTTCAGAGATGTGGTTTTGAAGATGTGGCGCTACACAAAACTAATGTTTTCATTTGCTTTGGACAGATTATCGTCCAATCATCAATACATCACTTCAGAGTTGGGTTTTCTACAGAGACAATAATACCGGTACCTTGTAGTACTCCTCATCTGTGTCAACATGGCCAAATCCAACGCCCTGTGCTGTGTTCAAGATATGAGTAATACCAGCTTTCTTCAGCGATTCTTTGCTCAGGGCAAAGCTCTGTAATGCATAAAAAATAAGCACTTAGTACCTCTGACAAATTTTAGGTACCAAACATTAAATGCTGGGATACTCACATAACAGGGCTAGAACTGAGGTTGTCCTACAAATTGTGATTACGTGTAGTTTTGTTTTATGAGCTTTCCGGGAGAAATGAGGCAGAACAATTTGAAATTCACCCTTTCCTGTGCAAACCAATCAAACTTCATGACAGGTTGCAAAATTAGGAACCTGGCAACTATATGATCATGTTAGTTTATACATGAACTAGCCCACATATGAAAATCAAATCAGTGAGGTTTTTGTTTACATTCGCTCTCCCTCTCTTCATAGTTATGTTGTCCATATACACTCATGCAATGTAATGAGTTGTTCCTAACTTCATAAGTGTCTCGTAGACCTGTAGGCTTACAAAATAAAATTGGTCCCCAAAAATCAGCAGTAGGCCTAACGCCACTGCCTGAGCTTTGACTGAGTGATTGAATGATGCCAAAGAAACGTGGTTGATTGGGAGTACTTGCAGTTTGAATTTTACCTTTCCCTACCCAATAAAGCTGGTTCTCACTTTTCGCTTATGAAGACATTCGGGTAGACTTCGTCACAGGATCTCGAAGGCATTACAATGCAGAAACCATCTCCACCCTGGACTATGAAAATAAGATCCTCGGGTGTGCAGGGAGACCTACATGCAGCCTTGTTTTCAGATGCCATCACACACTCGGCAATTCTATCCAACTAATGCTAGCGGCCAGTAGAAAGTCACGAGGCTATAGTTTTCTGGCAGGTGAAGCCCAACACGCAACAGGGAACAACCGATCGCGCCCAACAATATAGGATTTCTCCAAAACAGTCAAGTTTAACGAGGAAAATATGGGAGCATTTACATAGAAAATAGTTGGATCATGGAGGAATAAAACAAATCCTTGGATCGACCAGTCTCACAGGGTTTGTGCACAGGAAGGAAGTAAAGTGCTTTCCGTTCTCAAAATCGATCCACTAACTCTGTATGGTGCGTACGGATTTGTGGTATCGATACCATAACAATTCGTCATGGGTGCACTGCTCAATTCCAGGGAAATCCTTCGGCAGGCGGAGGCGCCCCAAAAGTACCCGTACAGTTTATTTGGAAAGGAGGAGATTGTGTGGCCCAAGAATTTGTGGAATTGTAAAAGAATGGTCAAGAATGAACATTTTAGATTAAAGGGCTCCCATCCCCGGGCGAAGCATAGAAAAATGCCCCTGAAAAATT